CGATAGGGAGTGATATAGACCAGGCTCGAAAGTAGGTGACATTAATAGTGTGGCTCGAGCGCAGAGTTCCCCCGAATGCCCAACTCTCTACCGACGAAGTAGACTTCCGCGCACCGTAGGGTCTCATTCTCACAGCTATCCCACATTGTGTGTCTCATCGCCCAGTCTCACACAACTAACATCTCACTTGCTTCTATCATTTTCCCTTCACAGTGGCAAGATGATGTATGCGATGGTAAGTGATGACACCACCGGTATAAGGAACACGAATCTCTCGGGAAGTCAGACTTTTCTGACTTCCGTATATGGCACGTACCTTGATTTCTCTCTCTTTGTTACTTGTAACTACATCCCGACCTCTGGTTCTCCGTCGTCATGAGCTGGCTTCACTAGGGAGTGGGTGGCATCAATTACAGAATGCTAGCATACTTCTTGCACATCTCCCTTAAAGTCTGACTTCCCTCTGTACCATGTCGTCGCCAAAAACCCACGAGTACCTCTAGCGCTCGCCTGCCAGCTCTGTAACTGCCTTGGGGACTCGGCGTCTTTGTCGATGCGAACTAGCCTCAGGGCCATCGTCCACTGGTTCGAGGAACGGTTGGTCACTTCTCCACTCCTCCAGTCCATGTCAGGACAGGGTCTTCCCATCGCCGACTTCAGATCTTGCCACAGGGTCACGGTCTAGGGCCTGCTGCTCCCACTCTGTGATCCCTGTTGATGTCTCCTCTTCGTGGTGACTTGCAGCACTGCAGTTACTCCATCCCGCTTGGACCTCGTCTCAAACCGATTATGGGCTTCCGTAATGGCTCTCTGTAGGCCTGCATCCCCCTTCATCTCTTGCACCCTTCTACCATGTGCGTTAATCTTTAGCTTCGCAACTCTATCAGACCTTGAGTATGTTAGTAGGGCGTCTACTATAGCACCCTCCTCGCTCTTAGACTCCAAACTCCAAAAGTATTTAAGGTACCGCGACCTATAGCCTTGCAACCCCTTGTGGCAAACCATATCCGGCCTCACAACTTAGACTCCCCCGCACTTGGCAAGGCTACTGACTAGCCTTGTGCACTGATCGTAGGCCTGTCAAAAACATATGCCCGTTAAACTTGAGCCGGGATCCCTGCATGCTCAGGGCTGAAGCAACGTAGCGGCTCATATTCCCACTAACTTAGGCGAGAGTGAGCACTACAACCACCTATTATAGGGGCATAGTACTATCGTGTACTCTGTGTACTAAACGAGGGGCTAAGGGTCCATTTAAATAAAATGCAAACTAGGGGAAACAGTGGTTGTGACACACTTTTAGTTTGAAATAGGCAAGAAAATACAAAGTCGCACCAGTGTCATGGTGTGAGTTCCAAAATGTGCAAGTTTAGCGAGGGTCTAAAACTGCGCCAGTTATTACCTATTCTGCACGTTGGGTGTGACTCCAACGTACTAGCCCCAAAAAATAAGTAGAAAAATTTGATGAGAGCTATCATGAAACATCACAATAATAATTTTGTTAGTAATAGAAAATGAGATTAATTAAACCACCAGTACTTGGCCCAACTATCAAGTCCGAGCCTCGTCAGACCAGTATGCTGAGCCTTGCCGAGGCTCGAACTACCGGGCGCTACCTTGCCAAACCTACTCGGAGAAAAACATGGGAAAAGGAAGAGAAAAAAAAAAAAAACAGAAATGCAAGAAGATACGAGAGAAAAACGGGATGAAATCCATTATAAAAAAAAAAACATGGAAAAAAAAAAAAATCACAGTCACTACCTCGACATGCACAAAAATATTCATAGTGGTGTATCTTTCCATGTTCTAGCAGAAGATTCACTCTCGTTTTGCACATTTCGAGAGTAGTGGAGCGACAGAGAGAGAGGGATAGAGAGAGGGGGCCGGCGACCTGCACGGAGGGCCGCGGCAAACTCGCCGCCCATCTCTCTCTCTCTCTCTCTCTCTCTCTCTCTCTCTCTCTCTCTCTCTCTCTCTCTCTCTCTCTCTCTCTCTC